CCCGGCCGCTGGCGGGTGTTTGTGCTCCAGCCAGTGAAGCGAGCTAAAGGGGATGTACAAACACACGGCCCTGAGCAAACAGGCCAGAGCGTGCTGCCCAGGTTGGGGCAGGGGGGCGGGGGGCGGGGGGCTGAGGCTCGGCACCTGGGGAGTGCTCTGCACCCCTGGCACGGCCTGGCACCCTCCCCTGAGAACATGACCCTCTGCTGCAGGGGCCTGGAGCCCAGTGCTGGCCGCCGGGTAGCCCCCTGGTGTGGGTTCCCCGGACCCTCTGAGTCTCCCCCCACCCCCTCCGAGGAAAGGACCGCCCATCAGCGGATCTCTTGGGCGCTGTGAAGTAGGTCTAGCTGCCAACCCATCCTGGCCTGCGAGGAAAGGCAATTTTGCCGAGTTGGGGCCCCTCTCCACCAACTGAGGTGACAGCTTACAGGGCCTGTACATCTTTATACCACAACCCATGCAACACTGAACCCACTGGGACTCCAAGTCCCCAAAATAAGGTTTCTATGACAACACATTCCCCCCAATTCCCAGGTTATCATGGAGCAATTATCCGCGGCCCCACCGCAGTTGTAGGAGACTTGATTCAGATGCTCCCAACGGCGACCCTGAAGACTCCTTTGTCCCCCAAATTAGAATACGGGTGGGAGACACCAACAGAAAGTGTCATTGTGCTGCTCGCTCGGGGTCACCGGGAGCTGCTCCCGACAGTTCTGCTTTTTAAAGGCCTGGGTTGTGTCAGTAGGAGATTCAGCTCCGCTCAGCAGAAGCTGCGGCCAGCCCTAGCGCATTGCCCAAGAGCTCCAGGCCAGCCCTCGCTGACCGGCTGCTCGGTCCTCTTTCTGGGTCTGCTCTGGAGGAGGAGCAGCTGTCGGAGCCCCCATCTGAGGCCTCAGGAGGCAGGAGGATGCCCACGGAGAAGCCTCAGGCCAGGAGCAGCCGTGGAGGGGAAGGAGAGGACTTAAAAAGTGCTTAAGAAACACAAAAAGACAAGTTCGATCCCCAGCCCTCTTCGGGCCATCGATGGGTCTCTCTCACACTGATGTTTCGCTCTCTTTCTGTCTCTCCTCCTCCTTTCCACTCTTTCTAAAATCCAATGGGGAAAAATATCCTCAGGTGAGAATTAACAACAACAAAAAAAGCACTTCAGTCAAAGTGCTTAGGGAGTTGGCCTGTGTAACTAAAAGAAGGTGTGTGTGTGTGGGGGGGGGGGGAGGATCCAGAGGGATATGGGGTGAGAGGTGTGTCAGGCCTTCCTTCCCACAGAAGACAGTGATTAAGCAGCTCCTTGGGGCCTCACAACCAAAGGCTGTCACACTTCTGCAATAGGCCAGACAGAAAACATTTTAGGTTTTACAAGCCATACAGTCTCTGTGCAACTACTTCATTCTGCAGCCACTGCACAAAGGAAGTACGTGGGCGCGGCTGTGTACCCATAAAACTGCACAACACCCACTTCCCTGGAGTGGCCTCCATTTGGCCTGGGGCAGCAGATTGTTGGCCTGTGCTCCAGACCCAAGAATGGGGACCTTAGAGGACCAGCCACCAGCCACCCTTAAATAGATCCCTGCTATCCAAACATGTTAACCCTACCAGACCCGAGGCCCTGAACTTAACTGGTCCTCTTTACCCAGGCTCCTGAGCATGATATAGAAAAATGTTAGTTACATCCAAACAAGTGGTTAGAATAAGATGGAACATGGAGACATTGTAGAAAATAGGTCTAGGCAAAGTACCAAAAATTAGGTACAGTGGTATAGCGGCGGATTCGGACAGTTTTCCTGCCTGGTCACTATCTGGCCTGTATGGCCTTTTGCCTCCCGGGGAAGTGAGACGTTGATAGGAACGCCCCTGCTGTGTGCGTCTGGCCTCCACAGAGACCTAGAGGTTGCTGGAAGCAATGGACCCTCTCCCAAAAAAATGCACCTGCGGAGCACACACTCTGTCTGCACATCATCTCAAGGGCGAGCACAGCCCTCCTCAGCTTATTCACCAGCCCACACAGAAGCCTGAAAACCCTCGGGGAAGAGCCTTTGTTCACGCAGAAAGAGCTAATGGCTTTGCCTATGAAAGGTAATCCTGCAGAAAAATGGACACATGCCACAAAGAAGCAATTCACAGAATACAAATTGCCACAAATAAGAGGTGAAAAGATGCTCTGTCTTACTAACAATTAAAGAAAAAAAATTTAAATCATGGAATATCATTTTTTTTTTTTTAACCAAATCCGATTGGCTAGTGTTTGAAAGATTAATGGCAGGGCAAGGAAGTGGTGTAGAGAAAAAGCCACTCTCGTATGCATGGGTAGGATGGTATCATGTACAGACAGTCTAAGCTTTTGCAAAGACCACGTGACAGTATCCGTTCACATTTCAAACACACTGATCCTGCAGCCCAGCAAGCCCACTTCCAGGAACTTATTTTACAGAAATACATGTACAGGAACGTTCACTTCAGCAGCATTATAAATCAGAGAAATTGGAAACAAACCCAAGTGTCCATTAGTAGGAAGATGGTTAAATAAATCATGGTATTTCTGTATTATAGAATTACACGGAACTCTTTAATAATGAGGTAGATCTCGAGAGCTTAAGATAATAAGGTAAATTTCCAAGCAATGGCAGGAAAAGATGTAAAAAATACATTGTTAAGTGAAAGAGGCAAGTGGTGCCTGGCCAGTGTGGCCTAGTGGTTGAGCATCGACCTATGACTCAGGAGGTCACACTTCGATTCCCAGTCATGGCACATGCCTGAGTTGCAGGCTCAGTGCCCAGTGTGGGGAGTGTGCAGGAGGCAGCCGATCACTGATTCTTTCTCATCATTGATGTTTCTATCTCTCTCCCACATTCTCTCTGAAACCAATAAAAATATTTTTAAAGAAAAAGTATATTTTTAAAAAAAAGAATAACATTGGTTATCTGCGATTCTTTTTAAATACTGAAAAGATACATTCTAAATGATAAAGGTGGGCTTAAAAAATTTTACAGACTATAATTTATACTTAGAAAATATTATTTTATTTATTTTTAATATATTTTATTGAATTTTTACAGAGAGGAAGAGAAGGATAGAGAGTTAGACACATCGATGAGAGAGAATCATCAATCAGCTTCTCCCCACCCCACTAGGGATGTGCCCACAACTAAGGTACATGCCCTTGACCGGAATCGAACCCGGGATATCCTTCTGTCCGCAGGCCGATGCTCTATCCACTGAGCCAAATCAGTTTCGGCAAAAATATTAACTTTTTAAAAGAAGAACATGTTTGTTTTATAATTTAAAAAGAAAACAGATCCTTATGGGCTTACTAGCCTCCTAAGGTTTCTCGGACAACTACAAGTTCATTTTAAAGGCTTTCTTCAAGAGGATTTGTGGTATGGTGGTGTTTATCCATTTGTCTTATGCTTTATCACAGTGAAGCATCTTTCTGTATTTCAGAGCATAAACTCCTCAAATTTAAGAACCATCTATCTCTCTTATCCCAAAATTCAGAACTGCCATGACACAGGCATATAGTGACTAAAATGATGGGTGCTGCCTGGCTTTTAATTTTCCTTCTGATGAAAGATAATGTTCATGCTGTCAAAGAACAAACAGAACCAGGACTCCGGTTACACAGTTTACACAACTGAGTGGAATCTGGCAGTTCTAACAGATTTCCTACAGTTTCGACATTTATTGACCTCTGGGTATTTGAGTGGGGGAAGGAGACATTTTTCTTTTCTTTAACCTACCTGGTTTAAAAAATCAAAATAAAAAATGCATGGAAGGATACGAACCACTCTCTCTCATACCACTGGAGCAGGGCAACCAGAGTGCCCAGACCTGTGTGCTCTACCCCTCCCTGAGCACATGGCAAACGTGGCCTTGTGCCATGGCCTTTCTCACCTAAAGATGCCACTGAATGTTCCATCGCCAAGACCCAGACCCAGACAGCTGGTCCTTCCCACCAGGGTAAAGTTAACAAGGCCAAGTGTAGGAAGGGTGACCAGAGGGCATGCTAGGCCTGTGGCCTCTGGCTCACGGCCCGCAGACGGGGTCACGGAGGTGCCAGCACCTATCCAAGCTTTCCTGCAGGAGAACCGGCAGTTCCCGGGCTCCCGCACAGCTAACCAAGCATCCCCCAACTCCTGACTCCTTTGTGGAAAGAGAAATGAGAAACCAGAGTATCCTGCAAACAGCGGTGGTAGGTATTAAAAACGTCTATCTTACATCATAAAAACTTTTTCACGGGGAAACCGAGGCAGGCCAGGCTTTCCTGTTGGACAGAAACCTCTCTGAAGAGCCTATTCTTCTCACTTCCCTCCCAAAGGCCAGCTCTGGAAGGCACCCTGGCCGGACTGGACGAGCCTGCAGAGCTTCCTTCTCCCTCCCAGGAAAGACATGTTTGGCTTTCTCTCCTTCCGCCTGGGCCTTACTGCAGTCTCTCTCACCTTCTGTGGTGTCCTGGGGCTACCGATAAGGGGTGCTCAGCCCCCTGAGAAAACGTCTCCTTCCCTAGAAGGGCTTTCTGTGTCCTGGCATTCCACACACCAAGGAGAGTTGGTGGCCTGCGTGCTCCCCCGAGTTCTCATGCAGTTCTGGGCAAAGGCAATAGGCAGGGGTGGGGAGATTCCGAGCGAGGGCGGTTTGTTTTTAGGTTGCCCTGTCACCAGGGCTGTCATGGAAAATAAGAGAAAGAAAGTAGGCGGTAGCTTTTTTCTTCCCTGCTCCCGTCTTCCCTGGACACATGGCTAGCAAGCTGGCTTCCTCAGCGCCTCAGCCAAGGCCAGCAGGCAGGGGATGGGTCTGCGCTGAGAGCCAGGCTCTGCTGTGCTGCAGGTCCCCGCCTCCCACTGGGGAGGCCTCGCTGGCTGGCTCTGCTCTCCAGCAGCCCTCTCGTGCTGGGAGGTCCAGGCACAGGCAGGTGAATGGAAGACAAAGAAATTGAAGCCAACAAAAGCTGCCTCAAATTCACATGGCGGGGACGGAACTGAGGTCCTAAAGAAATGGCTACTTACTGTTAACGAGGTGAACGTCATGCACATCCCGCCAAAGCCGTTCAGAGACAGGGAGATGAAGATGAGCACAGAGAGAGCTGTAGGAACACAAAGGCACAGGATCAGGGCACCACGGCTGAGCTTCAGGGAGTCCAGGGCTTGGGCTCTTACAAAAGGTGCCTCCCGCCCTAGCTGGTTTGGCTCAGTGATAAAGCATAGGCCTGCAGAATGAAGGGTCCAGAATTCAATTCCGGTCAAGGGTACAAGCCCGGGCTGTGGGCTCAATCCCCAGAGTGGGGCATGCAGGAGGCAGCCAATCAGTGATTTCTCTCTCTCTTTCCCTTCCTCTCTGAAATCAATAAAAATAAAATTTAAAAAAAGGTGCCTTTGCCCTAACCAGTTTGGCTGATAGAGTGTCGGCCTGCAGACTGAAAGGTCCTGGGTTCGATTCCGGTCAAGGGCATGTACCTTGGTTGTGGGCACATCCCCAGTAGGAGGTGTGCAGGAGGCAGCTGATCGAGATTCTCTCATCGATGTTTCTAAGTCTCTATCCCTCTCTCTCCCTCTTTATAAAAAAATCAAAAAATATATATATAGATAGATATATAGATATAGATATATAGATATAGATAGATATAGATATATAGATATATATAGATATATTTTTTTTAAAGGTCCCTCTGTTCTCCATTAACCTGAGCAGCAAGTGAGAAGCAGCTTAACCAAAACCAAAACTACAGGTGCCCCCAAATCAATAGGTGGTGAAATTCAAGTCCTATTTTGGTGTTTGTTCTAAACGTCCTGGAAGCAACAGCTTCACCTGAACAGGGTTGGGGAGCAGGTGGCTTCTGAGCTCCCGGGGTCACAGCTGACAACTGTGCACACACCTCTGCAGCTGGCCTCATTCTTGGAACCTGCCTCTCAAGTTGGATCAATGAGGCCATCGCGGACTGGCCTGGCTCAGTGAGGAGATAGGAGTGTCGCACACCCTGGGACCTTCCCTCAGACCGCAGTCTGGGCGGCTGTTCTTTTACCCAGCACCCATTTGAGATAAGCAGCCGGATAAAGGCCTAACAAGCATCCTCTTTAACTTGAGCAGCGAGCACCAGGCCTGGCACAGCATCCTAGAGCAGACGGCACTCTCCCTCCCCAGTCCCTGACAAAAGGTGGAGGAAAAGTGTCCTCACAATTTGGGTTACTTGCTCCATATGCAATCAGCAAGCAGGAGACAGCAAAGCAGGCACTAAAAACAAGCAGAAATAATACATTATTTCTTTTTATTATTACTGTTAATACTGTTATTATTTGGGAGTATTTACTATGTATTAGATATTTCAGGAAATTTTATATACCATATTTAATTTAATTGAACAATTCTAAGGAGTATAACTGGCCCCATTTTACTGATGAGATGGGGGGAAAAAGAAGTGATTTCTCTAAAGTCTCCAACTAGTAAGTGCCCATGCAGGAATTCAAGCCTGGAAGCCACATCTGGCAAACACCACACTGCACTGCCCCTTCCCGTCCCAACCGGACGGGGCCCAGGCTCTGAAGTGAGAGTGGGTTGTGCCAGGGGATGGACAGAACATGCTGGGCACAGGCGAGGTGAGTGGCAGGTCCTGAATGCCCCTCAGAAAGGGAATGAAACTGTGCCGCCCTCTGTGATCACAGGGCTCACTCACTGCAAGCCACGCCCTTCAAGATGGTCATTCGAAGGGGACTGGCTAGGGGAGACCGTGGCCTGAGGGGGTGGACTGACCCTGAGTCTGGCACCCTGGAACTTTACAGACCAGGGACACCCCCCAGAGGGTACCCTGATGATCCACACAGGCGCCCATGGTAGGCAAAATACTAGGACTTCTATTTTACAACTTTTAATCTCAGCCATCTTAATTTATGTTTGTATATGTGCCACAAAGCACATAAAAGGCTAACAATGGCATATGTATATATCACTGATAACTCCATGTGCTTATATTAGAAGTAATTTTGCAAAACCTTTTTTTCTGATAGAGGAAGAAGGTCATAGAGTGTGGAAGCCAGTGTTCTTAATGACAAGAACTCCAGACCTTCCCAGGCAGGCCAGGGGCCTGGGCCTTTTGTATGCAATGCTGGCACCTGACAAGGATCAGAGTTCCCACTGACTTGGTGGCAGAAGGGGCAGAAACCTGGGTGGGCATTTAGGGAGCTCCACAGTGTCGCTGACAGCAGGTACCAGGATCTTACCCTGGGGAACTCAGCCCAGGGCCCCACACACGTACCTGCCTAGCAGCCTGAGCTTCCTGGGGCCGTACTTGTCCATGACGATGCCCAGGGGCAGGGTGATGGCACTGAGCAGGAAGGAGCCCACGGTGAAGGCTAAGTTTAGCATCTCATCTTGGGCCTTGCAGCTGAGCCAACCGTTCATCCAGCTCACCTCCTCCTCCTGCCCTGACTCAGCTGCTGTGCCGTTGGTGACGTTCTCTGTGTGTGTGGAGAGAGAGGAACCTGATCACAGGCTCATGGCAGGGATTCCCGAAGATCCGGGGAGCAGGTGCACATTCAAAGTCCCTCCCCGGGGAATGGCAGGGTGGTCTCTGGGCCTCCTGAGGCTTGGGCTACCGCTCAGCAGGCCTGGATGTCCATCTGGCCCAAGCCCCCTGGATGATGACGCAGAGGTTCTTAACTTTGGAGGGGACATAGATCCTTCGGGGGATCCAGTGAAGAAAGCTATGCTCCCGTGACTCAGAAAGTGCACAGAGTCTTCCCCACAATTGCAGGGGCTTCCTGTGTACCTTGAAGCACCCATGAGCCCCAGGTTGGGATTCCCGTTCTGGAGTGACCTCGGGCCCCAGCCTTGGCAGCGGGGCCCCAGGTGGGCTAGAGCCTTCTCAGCAGCTACAGAGGGGCCAACCCTAGGCCACGCGGGAAGGGCACGCTGCTGGCCCCACCGCAGCGCCGCGGCGTGTCCTGCTCAGTTTGGAGCAGTGGGCCCCTTTCCTGCTAAGTCCAGTGGACTTCTCAGACATGCAGCCCCTATGCTACCGCCTCCCCTCACATGCTCATGCTATCAGCCACCACACACACTGCAGTGCAGAACACCTTGGGAAAGGATTTTTTAAAATAGTCCCAATTTATTCCCTTTCGCTTGTTGAGGCCTTTGACTTTCTAATTTTCCTCCCCAGAGTCACCGCATGTGCTGTCCCTGAGGCCACACCTGCACTGCAATCCTGGCCCTTCATGGCCGGCTCCCAAGTCCACCGGCAGCAAGACAGCAGGAATAGGAAGGAAAAGTGCTGCGGCAGCTGAAGGCAGGAGGGTGGGGGCAGGCCCGGAACGGAGCCGAGAAGGCGCTCCTGGCCGGGCTGCTCGTTAGGAGATGCTGACTAATCCAGCAGGAGGAGGAGCGGCCTCTGATTAGATTCGAGGTAACCCTGGGAGAGACAGGGAAACGCCTCTCTTCGGAGAACTGTGGGCCTCCAGATTGTGGCCTCCGGCGCCAGGGCTGTAAAGCTGAGGTCTGCAGAGGCCTGCCCAGGCCTCTCAGGGCTGCCCCACGGTCACGGAAAAGGATGCACTTGGGGTGAATCATGCCACGTGCCAACCTCTAACCAGAAGGCCTCCTGGGGGCACGTGGATCGAGGGTGAGGTGCTGGGTTCCCACGTTGGTTTCTCTACTTCCTACTGGCATGACCTTGAAGAAATGACTTCAGCTTACTCTTTCCTAGTTTTTTTTAAACTTAGAATGAGCGTCATCTAACAATTAGCATCTACCTCCTAGAGTTTTAGGGAAGACAGGAAAATCCAGATAACATTCTAGAACTCACACAAGCATAGAAAGTGCTCAGTAAGTAATAGCCGAAAGTTACTGTAATTACTATTATTGGAGGCAAAGCATGGCGGTGTGCGTGTGTGTGCGTGTGTGTGTGTGTGTGTGTGCAACCAACTGGCAGCAGAGCCTGGCACCGTAACTCACAGCGGCGTTTCATGACTGTGTGTGTGGTAGCGTGAATGTGTGTCTAGTCTCTCACGGGCTGGTGGACCAGAGGGCAGGGACTGCATTCTGGTCATCTGAGTCTCCAGCACCTTACTCAGGTCCTTTCAGAGCAATTGTTCCCTGAATTAATGAATTGTTTCCTGAATTAATGCAAACAATGGACTCCGATCACAGGGCCAAAGGGATCAAGAAAGAAAAAAGCACACAGGATAAGTGGATACAAATTGAAGATAGAGGGGATTTAAGGGGATTAAAGCTACAATGTTAACCTCCTGAAGCTACAGAAACAAAACCTAACAAGCCAGTCGAGCAGGTGTGGCTCAATGGTTGAGTGTTGACCTATGAACCAGGAGGTCATGGTTCGATTCCCAGTCAGGGCACATGCTCGGGTTGTGGGCTCGATCCCCAGTGGGAGCCGTGCAAGAGGCAGCTAATCTAGGATTCTTTATCAACATTCATGTTTCTCTCTCCCTTCCTCTCTGAAATCAATTTAAAAAATATTTCAAAGAAAACAACCACCCCACTCAGCCCACTGCTGTCCAGAAGAGGCCCCACCATAGTGGCAACCAGAACAGCCAGCCAGGGTCACCTGAGCCCACTGGACCCTCTCAGCACCGTCACACACACTGACAGCCGGCGGCGGGAGCTTCTGGGAAGGCAGAGTGCTTCACAGGTTGGCACTGGCTTCAGGTGTCAGCTCTGCCAGCAGCAACAGAAACTGGAGGTGAAATGGGACGACAGCCACTTCCAGGTTGGCGTGCAGATGTGAGCAAACAGGACAGGTGTGACAAGTGGATGGGTGGGGAGGGTCCGGGATTGCTGGCCTGTGAGACTGGCTGTGGCCACGCAGGGCCGAGAGCCCATTGCTGCACTCAGTGCTGCAGGGCCCGCTGCTGTGGGCAGGGAGCCCGGCCTGGACGGACACCAGCAAAAACGAGACAGCACTCTCTCTGAGGGAGGCACCAGGGTGCCCTATCCACAGGGCTCCCCAGGGAGGAACTTCAGGGAACCTTACATCCAGGACCACACTCACCATCAGAGAGAAGAGAAAATCCCAAGGCACAATACCCAAGGCAGTCTCCCTATTTGCTATAATTGGAGATGGGTGCAAGCACCTGAATTGTTTGGAGATCTGGTCACCCCTGTAACCAGCCAGGGGGCTAATGAGGAGACAGGTCAGAGAAGAAGGAAGGGTCTCTGTCCCTCCATCTTTCGCTCTAAAGCCACTACCTTCAGAAGCAGGGACCTTACTTTGGGCTGCCAGCCCTTCTCTCCTTAAACCAGTCCCTGCCAAAGGCCACCTGGCCCTCAGCCCTCCCGCCTCTGGGCAGTGATGTCCAGAACAGATGAGCCAGGAGCGGGTAGAGGTGAGTGAGTGGCCCCTGGTCTGCCTATGGAGCAACATGAGCGTGTCCCGCACCCTAGAGGGACTAAACCAGCCTGTAGCCCAGAAGCTTTGTTGGCACTACAACTTCCCACACGAATCAACACAGACGCAGCAGGTGCCCAACACACTCACACCCAGGCTGCTCCTCTTCCTTGGCTCCTCTCCCACCCGGACCACTGTGGGCCAGGAGAAACACAAATCAGATAAGCACCCAGGAAGTGTCAGGGCCCCGGGGAGCCCCTCTTCTTCCAGCCTACAGCTAGGCCCTAACCAGCCCAGCCTGCTCTGCGCCTCCCCTGCATCTGTTTAGTAAACAGATGACTGCAGTGGGAGGCCAGAGCGGGCTGGTCCAGCCCAGCTGGGGAAGGTGAACCGAGAACACAGGACTGGTGTGGCCAGAGTGTGCTGAGAACAGGCGCAGGACTGCTTAGGAGGACACCCAGGGGCAGGGGAGAGAGAACAACGGCTGTGCTGCTGGGCTTCACTTACAGAAGACTCACTCACACACACAATCTTTACAGAGTAAGCAGGGGAGAAAAGAGGGTGCTGTGACCCTACTCTGACTTGCTGCTAACAAAGTACCCCCTCCCTGGGGCAGAACCCTGGGCCACCCTGCTGGTGGTCCCTGCCCCAGGACCTCCTGTCTTTCTCAAAGCCTTAGTCTATCCGGCAACAGGAAGCAGCATCTCCAGTGCAGCAAGGGGATGTAGGTGAGAGGTCAGCCTCAGACACAGAGCAAACAAGAGGCAGGACACAGACAGTCAGAGGGCCTGCTGGGTAGGCCAGGGCCAACCCTTCGCTGTGGTCACAGAGTGCCCGTGTGTGCTGGCTGCTGTGTTCAATGCTATTCGTCCCTGTGTCACTGAGCACCCTCCCACCCCACCCCACATCCCAGGGATTTCAGAACAGGTTCGGTGGCATGCCCCAAGGTCTCACCGCCAATACCCTGGGAAACTGGACTTGAATCCAGGCTCTCAGAGTCCAAAGCTTCTGCTTTTAATCTCCAGGCTGTGCTGATGCTACACGACCTGGGTTAGAAGCAGTTCTGAGGAAATGCTGAGAGCACAAGGCTGTCACTGCGTTGGGGCAATACCAGGTGGACCTGAATCACCTGATGAGAATGGGACTGTCCCCAAGGCCCTGCCACAAGGTCCCTGAAAGCCAACCCACGCTGGACAGGACCTGAACAGGACACCAAGAAACCAGGAGGGGTGAGCAGCGGATGTGGGGGAGAAAAATTAGGTCATGAAATGGGAAGAAGGAGGGCAGGGTTGGTGGGAAGGGTTCAGAGCACAGCTCCTCTCTGTGACACATGATAAGGCTGTGGTCACCAGCCTTTAGACTTTCTTATCCATTGCTATTTTTTTTTAATGTTTTTATTGATTTAATAGAGGAAGGAAGAGGGAGAGATAGGAACAACAATGATAAGAGAGAGAATCATTGATTGGCTGCCTCCTGCATACTCCCCCCCACTGGAGATTGAGCCCACAATCCAGACCTGTGCCCTTGACTGCAATCGAACCCGGGACCTCCCAGTCCACAGGCCCATGCTCTGTCCACTGAGCCAAACCAACCAGGGCTCCATTGCTACTTTTTTTAAAAAGTCCAAAATACATAGCAATAAATGTAAAAATCTATCAATCACTGACCTTTGGGTATAGGAGACCATTTCATGCCTCAGAAGGGATTGGCGTGAAATATTCAAAGTGATAAAAAGCAAGGACCTACAATCAAGACTACTTTCCCAGCAAGGCCATCATTTAAAATTAAAAGAGAAATAAAGAAGATCCCAGACAAGAAAAAGCTAAAGAAGTTTGCTAACAGGTATAGGACTGCTTAAGAAAATGTACCAAGAAATACTGTAAGAAATGTCAGAGGGTCTTCTGTAAGAAGAAAAACAACAACAGAGGAACACAGTTAAAAGGCAATAAATACATACCTATCAATAATCACCTTTAATATAAATGCTTAAGTGCTCCAATCAAAAGACATAGACCAGCCTAGCTGGTTTGGATCAGTGGACAGAGCATCGGCCTGTGGACCAAGTCCTGGACAAGAGCACATACCTCGGTTGCAGGCTCCTGGTCAGGGTGCATACAG